ATATAGTAATGGCAAAATTGACCCCTGAAAAAAATATATATCTCCATCAGTTTTGACATTATCAAAAATCTGTCTTGGGTTTTTGTCCCCCTCACTAAAAGGAGCATTTTGGCAAGACAGTTAAGAAAAATATCATTTTTTCAAGGAGCAATACTATTTGCTACATTTTGGTGGTGACTAAGTGACCTGCACCATATAGTTGGCAACAAAGCCATCTTTGCATTCACAAATGAGATGGTAAGGATATCTCATCTATCCCCATATTACAAATAGTTGTATCAATGTGCTTCCTGAAGGATGCCCCATAAATCTAAAGCAGCTACAGCTGATGACCCAGAGCATCTGTGAGCAACACACTTGCATTACCATGGGAGAGTGGATTCATGCCACTCTCCTACTATAGGAGTTCCATTGGATCTCCTTCTTTATGGACACTAGACTGGGGGGATCACACCATGCTTTGAGTGATGGAGGCTGGCCCCTGCTAAGTTGAAAACTCAGCTGTCAAGAGGGGACTGCCACTAGACAGTGGTCCCCCTCCCATCTCATTTGTTGGCCAGACTAGGCTGCACAGACAACAATACCTGGGAAGTGGGACTTACTCTAGTCCCACTCAACCAGCACTTTGACATTGATGCATAATTCCAGTACATCCTGTGCCACAACCACCCAGAACCTGTACTCAGATTGTAGCCATTAATGCCTCTCTGAGAGTAGACTGACAATCAGTCTTTGGTTACATTCTGGATCTGACACTAGCTCCAACTATGTCACATGCTTGAATGGCCTACATGTGGCTATTTTCTATAGTAGTAGCTTAGCCCTGTCTCTATAGAGATGTGGTTGATGACTACTGCTAGGAGGTAGGGGAGTTCAACCTCCTTGCTCCTTATATGTTCACATTGCACAGGCTGAACATCCAGCCTGCTCACATCAACAACCTCAGCAAAGTGGAGGTTATTTGTCACCTCCTCACCAACTGCATTACACTAATGTGGATGAACCATGCATATACCTATGGTATATGCTTCTTGGATCACCACTGATTAGGAAGTGCACTGCATGCTAACCTGTTCACACAGGTTGATGATGAATACCATTGTTGACTTAAACACTTTAGCAAACCTCCCACCTTAGGCAGTTATGCTGAGTAGTACAAACCCACCATGGATGACCAGGAGTGCTTCTGAATGCTCCTCTAACTCCATGAGAGCCATGGTCAATGCCCTTTGCATGCTCCAGAATGCACTATGAGGATTTGGCCATCTTCATCCACCTCTTGCACTGACTGGCAGAAGTAGTGAATGCCTTCTTAGCTGCAGTGGATGAGCCCTCCACAGGCTCACCTCAACCAGCTGTGGCACCTGCTGAGGCTGGTCCCTCATCAGAAATTCTACCCAGTCCAACCACACCCACTATTGTGTCCTCCTAAGCTGCAACTACTTTAGAGGCTGGGGGGCAGGAACACTAGTGGTCAGTGGTAGCAACTGACTGAGAAGCACTAGTATCTGTGCCTTTCAGAACCCACTTAGCACCTTCAGTGAAACACAACAATGTGTAAGGCAGTCAATACTCAGCTCAGTCAATGGAAACAGGACCTTGCTATGTATTCAACACAAGAGTGATAGGATATATGACTAAAAAATAAAAGGAAACAAGAAAGCAAGAATCCAGGCACTTGATGTGGCAGATATAAATGATGTAGTGTAAATATTGATAAATAGTAGTCCCAAAAGAAAAGTAGTTCATCAGATTACAGAATGTAGCAAAAAAATAAAGTGAAGCACAAAGAATGGAAAGGCCTAATAATAGCACTCAGCAAAGACAAGATAAGCATTAGAACTGTCACAACCCATCCCCAGACTTCCAAACCTCTCCCCAAGCCACCCTGCTTCCCCAGAGCTTCCTCCAATACCTTCTTGGCCTGCCCCAATCTTTGTTCACTCACAGTGTCTACTCCAGCTAACTCTGACACTTCTCCAGCAAACCCCAACAGTCCTCCTAGCAAACCCCAATGCATTCTCTGCAGGCCCCAACACTTCCCCTTCCCCTCCTGAGCCCACAGAACCCCTCAACACTGTTCCTGAACCCTGGCATATGTCACTGACTTGCCACCATGGCTTACCTGACTGAGTCTGGAACATCACACCAACCCCAGAGTGGCCCACATTCCCATCTGATCCCAGACTCACTATCCCTGGAGGAGTTCCTGTAGTTGGTATATAAGTTGTAGAGTAGCATCCCATACTCTAGTCTTGATATTGCCTTACCTATGCACTGTTGATTGTTTCTTGTTATGTTCCCTCTTATCTCAGTCTTCCAGTCTTGTCTTCTCTCTATTTCCACTTTAATCTATTTTTATTCTTGTTTCAATCTCACTTCAACTCCATCTTGTCTCATTCATCTCCATTTTCTTTATTGTGCCTAAGTCCCCTTCAACTCTAATGCTGTTACAAACTCCACACTTACAATCATGACTCCCAAACATTCATAACCAACTCCAGACCTTGCTTTATGCTCAGCTCCAAAACCCATCAGCATTTATTGATCTCCCATCAAACTCTGGCCCCACTCCCATCACTTGCATAGCCTCCATTTGCCCTGCATCTTCAATACTCACCTCCAGACCTGTACCTGAGTCCTCCCCAAGTCTGACCCTTCCTTGTACCTTGTCTTGGACTTCCCCAGACTACTCTAGACTTGCTCAGACTATTTTGTTTGGCTTACTCTCACAAGTATCTGAAGTCCAGACCCCTCCAGAATGCTAGGCTATCAGTGCAGGACATTGCATCTGCCTAGTAAGGACTCACTCAGTTAAGCTGAGCTCCTGTAATCAGTGGAACCTGACAAGAATGATGAATAAAGGTACATAGTGTTAGAGCTTGAACCCCTTATTTAGACCTTGTATAGGAATCTATACAGAGTTATTATCATTATTGATACCTCAGTCTCATATAAGTGACTATATTGTAAACAGTACCTATACAGAGTTATTATCAGTATTGATACTGTCAATATATAGTCAATTACTCATAGGTGTCAGGACCACGGTCCTGGAGGGGGACTCTTACAGGAGCCAAAACCACCTTGGAGAGGTGATGCCAACAGCAAGTATGTAAATAGAGAAAGAAACTAAGAAACTAAGAGATGAGAGAGAGTAATAGATTGAGAGAAGATCAGATAACAACAGAACACAAATAAGATATCAGGTAATGTCAAGGCTGGAGTGTTAGCTACAGAGTAGGAGAGCTTATATACAAGTAGGCTACTACCTAAAGGGGAAGCCAAGACATAGTCTTAGACAGGTCTAAGATAGGGAAAGGCCAAGAGCAGGAATGTTTAAGATAGGAAAGGTCTTAGACAGACACTGGGTGTGATCAGGGATAGTGGATATGATCAGAGTCAGTGGATGTGATCAAGGATGTGATCAGGGACATGGAAGTTATCTGGGATGTAGAGGCCATCTGAAACATGTCTAGACTGAATAGAGATGGCTAAGAAGGAGATTTGGGAAAAATAATTGGGTCATGACAGTAAGTATAAAGTAATTTAAGTTGCTCACCCTCAGTCTTGTATAAGTGACTGAGAGTGTTGTATCTCATATAAGTAACTGGAGGTGTTGTATCTGCATGTCCAATTATATATGTTATCTCATCCATTGTCTAAGTAGAAAGGGGCACAGTGCCTTTGGTGAGGAGGATTGGACAGGGCAAAGGCTTGAACATAAGAAGGAGGCATTACAAGGAATTTGGGATAGAAATACTTTGGTTCAAGTGGGATCATAGTATCTGGATGTGATTTTGGGATTTCTGGTACACATAGTAATATAATGTTAATGTACATATGCTACATTGATGCACTCCTATGCCGCCTAGTGCTATGCAGGAAACCTAAAAAGAGGACCCAACACTAGTCACTAGATAGGGTAGCTGGCAGTAGGAAGTTAATAGTAGAGGGCAAGTCAGTAACTATCTCAGAGAACAAGAGCGAGTGCTGTGTGAGGTTAAAAGGAGGCGCTATTGCTAGCTTAAGTTGCTAGTGACAGAAAGGGGGAATGGGTAAAGGCAGAGAACATCACTAAGACAAGAGCAAACTCTAAATGATGGTAGGGTGAGTAAGGAAATGTAATAGAAAGGGGGAAACAGTAATAGGGATAACACAAAGGGCACTCATAGTTGGCACCACACTAGGTCAAAGTTGAAGTTGCTAAGACTTGCTACTAAGTCAAAGTCAACAGCAGGTAAAGAAATAGAGTGACAATAGAGGCAAAGTGAAATCTCAAGCTGGTAAGCTTGGAGATAGATGGATTTGTTCTGAGGGAGATCTATTCAATTTGATGATGAAGTGTCTATGTACAGGCAGTATTTATATGGTTCCGAAGTATAGTATGGGAAAGTAAGCAAATAGTTGCCACTAGCAACAGCATCTGTCAATGTGTTTATGGTCCATACAAGGCATCAATCTGTAACTAAGTGAAAAACTATAAGCAAAGTCTCTGAAGTGTAGATGCCATTCAAGTATGTTGGTCAACTTGACAAGGGGAATGATAGCAAAAGGTACATGTCTGGCAATATGTCCATATATGGTGAGATAAAGCTGTTTTGTCACCAGAGTTGCTAGGATTGCTAACATTGCTAGGAAAGGTCTCAGCCTTATGATTCTAGACCCAAGGTCCAGGCTCCACATGATATCCCTTGTGATTGATAAGTCTTGTGGTTGCTTAAGTCCTGTGCTAAGGCTACATTGGTCCAGACCTTGGGCTAGGCCCTGCATGCTGAATGTTGTGACTTGTGCCAAATTTAAAATAGTCCACTGCTACTAAGTCCAAAATGCCAAAAATTGTGCTCAGCAACAACTGGGTCTTATCAATGTATAAAATGCTTACCATTAATTGTTCATTTTTTTCCATCTCCTTAGAAGGCAAACAATACAGGATTATTGTACCAGAAAATTGAAGCAATCCTCACAAAGAACAAAAGTGAATTTAATTTCTCTTATATAACTCCTAGCAGGACTCAAACCTGCAACCTCCAGATAACAGAAACCCTCTAAGGTAGAAGTCTGATGTCATAACCATTAGACAACTTGTGGTCTTACTGGAGGCTGAGACAAGGTCTGAGAGACATGAAGATAGAGGTAGCAAGGGCTTTGGTGAAGATGTCTGTGGTATTCTCTTGCAGAGAAACCCAGTGGACCATTATTTTGTTTGACTGTACTCACTCACATAGGAAATGATATTTTATGTCCACATGTTTTACTCATGTGTGCAGAAGGGGGTTCTTGGAGAGAGCAATTGCAAAGTTATTGTCACAGAATATCTCAGTAAGTCATGAAGTTACATTGTGTCTAATGTTTTTGAGGAGGGCATGAAGCCATATGCACTCTTGTGCACACTCAAAGGCAGCCATGTATTTGGCCTTACAGGAGATGGTAACTGTGCTGTTGTCATGACCTGCTCCCAGAACCCCCTGACCTCTTTCCAAGCTGCCTCACTTCTCTAGAGTTCCCTCCCAACTCCCCCTCAACTCCCCCAACCCTTGTTGACCCATAGTACCCACCCAAGCTAACTCTGACACTTATCTGACAAACTCCAGTAGCCCCCTAGCTAACTCTGACATGTTCCCTGCAGGCCTTAACACTTCCCTTTCTCCCTCCTGAGCCCCTGGAACCCTCTTCCACTGTTCTTGATGCTAGTGTATGTCATTAATTTGTCACCCCAACTTACCTGACCAGCTCTGAAACATCACAATGGCCCTGGGGCAGCCCATGTTCCCATCTGATCCCATCAGTATATCACCATGGCCTGCCCACTAATCATAACCAACACTCATTGATTATGCATGGCCCTGACAAGCCCTGCCACCAGACCTGCTGTCTCCAGAGTTGTCCCAGTAGCTAATATATAAGTCATAGAGTAGTATCCTTTACTTTAGTGTTGATATTAATGTTGCTTTACTTGGTTACTTGTGTCTTGTGTTTTCTTTCTGTTACATTTTCTGGCCTTCTTCTATTTCAGTCTCTTGTCTTAAATCTATCTCTTTCTCACTTCTTTCTTGTCTTAACTCTGTCTCACCTCATCTATCCCACTTTCCTTTATCATTTCTAAGTCCCTTTCAACTCTGATGTCATTACAAGCTCTGCACATATGTTACAATCCTCTAAACATTTATAAGCTAACTCTGGACCTTGCTCTATGCTTAGTTCCAAGACCCATTGCTCTTAACTAATCCCCCATCAAACTCTGGCTCCTCTGCTTGCCTCACCTCCTATACATTTGCTTACAAACTTGTACCTGACACACCTTTAAACTCAAACCCTACTGTACCTGGTCTTAGACTTCCTCAGACCACTCCAGACTTGCTTGAGCTGCTCCTCTTCCCTCATTCCTGCAAGTATCTGAAGTCTGGACCACTCCAGAGTGCTAGATTATAAGCACAAAACATTGCATCCACCTAGTAAGGATTTGCCCAGTTAAGCTGAGCCCCCATAGTTAGTGGAACATGACAGCTGTTTCTGGACAGCCCACAATATAGCACCCATGCCAAGACTCTAAACATAACCTCCAACAACACTTCTTGTGTCTAGTCTTGTGTTTAGACAGCTAGCCCAGTCAGAGTCAGTGAACCCTGTGAGTCCAAGCTCATTTTATTGTCCTCCAAGGTGTAATTGCAGGTTGCAAGTTCCTTTTAGGTACCTGACAAGGCATATGGCAGTGTTCCAGTGTTGTGTGCCATATGAGTCCAGGTACTGAATCAATTGTTGGACTCCAAATGCAATATCTGGGCATGTTGATATTGCCAAGTAGAGGAGACAGCCAACCAGCTAACAGTAGGGAGTGTGATTGAAATTATGTTGCTCCTTCTGAGACAGAGTTTTGCAATTGATGCACCTTAGCTTAGTGTTTGGATCCATGGATAGGGACAGCAGTGAGGCATCCTTTTGGCCAAACTGGCTGATGATTTTATTGATCAGCATGGTTTGCAACAACTTTACTGACCAATTCTAGTGGTCCCACTCTATTGTGATGCCTATAACAAAACAAAGTAAGCTAAGGTTGAAGATTGTCCACACTTGACTCATTTGCTCCTTGAACTGGTTATTTTCCTCCTTTTGACTCATAATTGACAAGAAGTCATTGATGTGTAGGGCTGCAATAATAGTGCCCTGGTTAGTGTCCTCATAATAAATACATAACTTGCACACTAAGCATTGGAACCCCCATGATAACATATTGTCATTCACAGTTTTGTTCCATATCTGTCCTGCCTGCTTCATTCCATATAGTCCATGTACCAGCATCCACACCCAGTCCTCCTTATCCTCTTTCTTGAAACCTTTTAGCTGTTTCATGAATTGTGTATCATTGTCAGGGAGGACTCCATACAGAAAAGCTGTTTTGACATTGATTTGCTGCTGCTGCCAAATGAAGAAGTATGTGCCACAATTACATGTGCACTGTTGGTGAGGTTGCTTTGTTGTAGTCATATTCATGGATCTGTTTGTATCCTCAAAACACACCTAACCTTGAATCTAACCACTTGACCATGCTCATTGTGTTTGATCTTGAATATGGGTCATCCAGTTCTTGCCTTCTATCCCATTGGAACTACACTCCCATGTCATGCAAGGATTTCAGTTCATTGTGATATGCCTGCTCCCATTTGGCCAAGTTGCCTGACTGCTTTGCTTCCACCCAAGTTTGAGGCTCATTCCTGAGTTCTGGTGTTGCAGAGTAGTATGTCAGGTCCTCAATCAAGGTCAGTAGGTGATCAAGATCTTTAATTGAGGCAATGTTGGTAAGGTCCAGTGAGTCTACATTCTGATCATGGCCAATCTCTGCTTGATCATCTATCTTCACACCATAATGGTTTACTTCCAGTTGCCATGCCTGTAGATGCTCTTCTGCCTTAATTAACTCCTGTACCACTCTCTGCACTCATGTCACAGGAAGGTTATCAGGATTAGCTCTTTCAGTCAGTATTGGGATGCAACTGGATCATTGCGATTTCAGGACTGGAGCAATGTTTGGTTCAGCAATGTCTGGTTCTTCCAATTCAACAGGGTTTTGCTGATGAGGGTTGACATTTGGACTGGTAGAGTCATTTTCAAGCAAGATTGGTCTGGGAGCATTGTGATCTGGAAGAGGTATAGGAGGTTTGTGTTGGCTGAGAACAGGGTCAGTGGGTGTGGACACTTGGGGGTGACTATACCCTTTGTAACTTTAGCAGAATTTCATGGAGTAAGTTTCATAGATCCTTCTAGTCCTTTTTTCATAGCAGCCATAGGCTTTTAAATTTTGTGCATAGCCAATCAAGATGCATTCTATCAAGTGCATGTATATCTTTGGGTTGTGTTTTGCCAGAATTAACACAAATGCTTTACAACCTATCTCACATAAATATGAGTAGTCTTGGCATTGTCCCATCCATGCTTCATGGGGAGTGATACCTTTTAGGGATTTGATGAGTATCTGTTTGTGTAAATGTGACACAGTCAAGTAAAACTCATTCCAGAGGTTTGGCAGGCACTCTGTTGTGATTTGCATTGCCCTAGCCTTCCCCATGATTGTGCAGTGCATCTGCTCCACTTGTCCAATGTGAGCTGAGGTGTATGCTGCACCAAGTTGTTGCTCAGTCCCCCACTTATAATCACTTGTCCATTTCATAACTTTGCAGCTCACCATTGTGCTCTGTCCTGTAGACACCAAGTCATTGTTGAACCTCATTTTCTTGGGCCACTTGCCATGCTTTCAGGTGAGTCAGCACTTCCCCTTTATGTTGGAGAAGTATCAACCAGTGCTTGCCAGTAAAGTTGTCAATCACATTCATTATATATCTATTTCCACTTCAGGACATTACAGTTTGTGGCCCTGCCAAATCTACCCACACAATTTCCAGCTTCTGCATCACTCTCTGCCCCTCTTTCTGGATTTTAGGTACAGCATTGCAAGTCTGTTGGCCCATGATGCATGAGTCACATTTCAGGTTTTTAGAGGAAGGGACAAAGGGCATACCTGATATGAGGCCAGTCTTTGCCATGTCCATGATAGTCTAATAGTTGGCATGGCCTAGACAGTGATGCCAGGTCTCTAGACTAGTGGCCTTCTAGGTGGCATATGAGTGGTGTTTGGTAAGGGCTGAATCAAGGATGAGAGAGTAGGGTTGTTGGTTCTGAGTGAGTGGTCCTTGGGCTATCATGGTGCATGTGGATCTCTGAATGACTTTTACTGACTTGTTGTTGAATAGAGAATCAAGTCACAAGCTGGCAAGACAGCTGATTGAACTAAGTCTGATAGTTGTATTGGAGATGTATAGGGCATTTTTGAGAACCATATTGGTGCCTTTGGCAATATGGAGGCCAATGTTGCCTATTCTGATTGCAGTCATCAAGGAACCTCCAAGTTCTTTCATGATTTGGGGTTGGATTGGTGGTAGGGACATGGAATCATCATAGTATGGAAATATGTAGACTGTGGCCCCAGAGTCAACTAGAAACAGGTTTGTTGGCATGGTGAGTGGCACATTATAAGACCCACTTGTCACTGAGCACCATTTTTGGCATTTCTGATTGGACAGCAGCTGATTATATTGACATGGCACAAGTCATAGTACTCAGCATGTGAGGCCTAGCCCCAAGGTCTAGAATAAGCTGTATCACATGGAGTCCAAACTTTGAGTCTAGAATGACAAGGCCAAGACCTTTCTTAGCAACAATTGCTAGTGACTTTCCTGGCAACAACACAGCATTCCCTCAAAAAATGGACATATTGACAGTCATGTGATTTCTTACTTATCATTTTTCTTGTCAAACTTACAAACATACTTGAACAGTGTCTACACTTCAGGTATTGACATCAGACATGCTCTTTTCTTGGAATTTGTAAATTTTACACATCACATTGACTTTGCTTACTTTTTACTTGGTTACCAGACTGACATCTAGTATGTATCATAAGCACTTTGGCAGACACTGTTGCTGGTGGCAACTACTATCTCCTTTCTTATACCATACTTACAAACAGTATTGATAGCAGATGCTGTTGCTGGCAGCAACTATCATTCCCTTTTGTATACTATACTTACAAACA